GAGAGAGAGAGAGAGAGAGAGAGAGAGAGAGAGAGAGAGTTGGGGTGCGGGCATAAGCTGGGTGCCTGGGTGCCCGGAAAGACAGCCCAGGGAGAAAGAAAGTTTTGATACTTAGTACTTACGTGTAGCAGAAGTCGTGCACAATCTGTTGAATATCATCGGGAGAGAAGCCGTTCTCGTCCCACAAGACACAATAGTGCCCTGCCTTGCTCGTTCCCTGCAAAAAAACACAATCACACATGGCGCTCATTTCCACACATAATGATGATCATGACAATGACAATAAGTTTTTGAGACTCTACTGAAGTTGCCCCTTTTTTTCCGGAGAGAAGCCGTTCTCGTCCCACAAGACACAATGGTGACGATCGTTATACCTCTGTAAATCTGGGCCCAAGGCCCTCCTCCGTGCAAGCACGGATTCGAACAGGCGACCTCAGCCTCAAGAGCCAAGTGACAATGACAATGACAAGACTGGAAAAAATCAGGGGCAACTTCAGTGGAGTCACGAAAACGAGTTATGATTGCACTATATATGGGGCAAGATACATTTTTCAATATCACTTCAGGCACCCTACCTGGCCAGAAAGCTGGGTGGTATACATTGCCCGAACTGCAATTCAAAACTGTATCTTGGCCCCTAGTGCAATTATAACTCATTTTTGTGACTCCCGCGTAGTTCCTCCCCAAAAAAAGACAATAACAAAACTGCGGAGAAGCTAAGGATGATGATGATGCCGACAATGCAAGCATCGACAGTGGCAATTGTTAGAGAGACTGAAGTTTCTCCTATCTTTCCGTGCATTCGTATGACGAACGCATCATTGTGGATGAGAAAAGGTTCGAATCTGACAAAGCAGATGGTTTAGGAGGTGTATTCTTTTTTGATAGTGTTTAGAACTTTACACTTTCATTGAACCACCACGCCTTTCAAACCTCTTTATCTTTTTTTGAAATGGAAAGCTGCATAATATCTTGTCAATCAAGAATTTGAGGCCGGGAATCCTCAACGGCCAAAACGAAAATACTGGGGCCAATACCCACCCAGCCTAGGCTAGTCCTGGAAACCGGCTCCAGTGTCCCATGTTAAATCCAGGTCATACCGTCATAGCCTATTTTTGCTTCCTCCTGCCCGCCCAAAAAATGCGCCGCCACAGCAGCGTTTCATTTTTTTTTGGCTAGCGCCGCCAGCGATTTTTGGTCCGGTAGAATTGTCCATTCAAAGTCTTTTTTTTTTCTTTTTTTTTTAAGCATCCAAAGTTTTCCGAATGTCACATTTTCGATGCTCGACTTTCCCTGGGACGACAAGAGTTTTTTGACCTGTGTGTGTGTGTGTGTGTGTGTGTTTGTGTGTGTGTGTGTGTGTGTGTGTGTGTGTGTGTGTGTGTGTGTGTGTGTGTATGTGTGTGTGTGTTGTAGATTGTCACACAACA